CTGTAGAATTTCTTTCTTTTTCTTTCCTCCCTTCCTCCCTCCCTCCCTCTTCTCCCTCCCTCCTTTCCTTTCCCCCTTCCTTCCTTCCTCCCTTCCTCCCTTCCTCCCTCCCTCCCTCCCTCCCTCCCTCCCTCCCTTCCTTCCTTCCCTCCCTTCCTTCCTTCCTTCCTTCCATAGCTAAACAAGAGTTACCTCTACAACCTGCTGAATAAGTGATCTTACAGCCTTTGTTTGAAGACTTTCAATGAGCAGATCTCACCACCTCTCCAGGCACAACCCATTCCACCATTGAATGGTTCTTATTCTTAAGGAGTTTTCTTATGCTGAGCCTAAATCCATCTCTCTCTGCCACTTCTACCTCTTGCCTGATGGAGCCAAGTAGAATGAGCCTAATGCCTTTTCCAGATATTTTCCCTGAAGGTACTTGAGGAGAGGTTTCATGTTCCCCAGAGTCTTCTTTATTTGAGGCTAAAATCCTTAAGTCCCTCAAGTGATGCATTTTGTGCTGTGATGTGAAAGCTCTTCATCTCCCGGCCATTCACTCTCCTCTAGATGAAGCCTTATCATTGTTCTTCCTACAAATGCAGCCCCCCATCAGAACTGAGCACAGCATTCCACAGTGTGTCTGAACAGGGTAAATTTAGCTTAGGGACTGGCCCTTCCCTACTGAACACTATCCCTTACTTAATGTGCTCTGTGTCCACATTCTTTTTTTTTAATGTAAAGATTTTCATATATTTTTTCAGATTACCAGTAAAAACAAATTTTAACTTTCATTCAAAAAAACCGCACTCCAAATTCTCTGCCTTCTTCCCTTTCCTCCCTGCTCCCTGAGATGATAAACAATTACATATACATTATATATAGTTCACATTCTTCTTTTGGTGCTAAACTACATTGTTGACTGATATTGATTTACCAAATATACCAATTTACCAAAAACTGCCAATATTTTTTTCAGTCTAGCTACGTGTCCCCCGTCTTGCACTCAGGAAATTGATTTTTTGAACCTACGTGTGAGGCTTCACATTTATCCCCATCACATTTCATCTTATCAAATTCAGCTTAATCTTCTGACCAGTCAAGATCTTTTTGGATCCCAACTGCCATCTGATGGGTTCACTATTCTTCTCAAATTGACAATGCTTAGTGATGGACTAGATTTGGCAAGCAAGGAAGGAGGAGGAGAAGACGGTCTTAAGAATTCAATTCTGAATGCTGGGAGAATTGGCAGAGATTGAGAAGGTGCAGAGGGAAAGCTCATCTTGGGACAATGATGGCAAGGTAAGTTTTTGATATATGGAGTTCCTTGGGACAACAGAGCATATGATATAAATTTCTGGAAGGCAGTCAGGAATATGAGGCTGGAGTTTGGAAGAGAAGATTGAGCTAGAAACATGGATTTGAAATTCATTTACAAAGAGGCAGCAGCTAAAATCATATGAATAAGATCTTGAAGGTAAGACTACAGCATAGAGGCCTCAGCATATCATGGAAGCTTTTGACCAATGATTTGTATTATTTTAGCTGGGAAATTTCTGCCCACTCTTTGTTTCTAATTAATGATGTTCAGTGAGTTTTCATAGATTTGATTTTTGTTTGTCTTATGAATGCTGTCACTATAAGAAGGGGGTACTTTGCTAAGAAAATCCCAAATGGGGTCACAGAGAGTTGGATGCAACTGAGATGACTAAACAACTGTTCCCAGTACCCAAGAGTACATCGTGTTGTACCATGCACGGTTCAAGGAGTTTTATCCATACCTGGTCACTGTCATCTAATAGTTCATGATCTAAAACTGTGGAAACTCAGACACGGACACTCAGACACAGAAGGTACATTAGAACTATATGTATATATATATATATATGTGTGGTGTGTGTGTGTGTGTGTGTGTGTATACATATATATGTATACATATATTTATATATGTGTGTATATGTATATTTATATTTGTGTATGTATATATGTGTATGTATGTATATATATGTATATATGTGTATGTGTATATGTATATGTATATACACATATATGTATGTGTGTGTGTGTGTGTGTGTGTGTGTATAAAAACCTATGACCCTGTTTTCTAACATCTGGATTGAACATGAAACACGTCCTGTCTTGTCAGGGGTCAAGGGGGAGAGTCCAAATCATCTCTCTCTTGCTGAGGTTCTCCCCTCCAAAGTACCTTCTGGGAAATCTCAGAATATAACTTGACTGTTACAGCCCATGTTGAGGCCTCTGCAGATGTGCATAAAAGGATCTCCAGAACCTGCCTATACAAGAACTCAAAGCAACAATGCATATTACAGATATAGGACAGCTTTTGTTATACTTCATAGAAAGTGCAGCAAACACACAAAGATCTCAAAGTGGCCCATGAACAATTGTTACAATTCTTTTCTGCCAATGAGTCCCATATATTCCCAGGGTCCTCCAGTTCTCCAGGCTCAAAGCACTACCCTGTAATTTAGACTCTCCTCTCATGAGAAAAAATAACTTGGGATTACTAGTGGGGTAATCTCCTAACTTTCCAGTGAGTCCTTCTTTCACCTCATTGATTTATACAAGCATTCATTCCTATGGTCCTGTCCTGAGGAGTTGGGTTCTCCCTGGGAGGGAAATCATCTCCTTCCAGGCAATGATTAGCCCAAGCCCTTGGCCAGCCATCTTGGGACCTCAATGCCTCTTCCTTTCTCTTTCTTGGGTCTTTCACCATTCAGCTTCTCTCCTTCCTGTTTCTGATCTTTTAGTTGCCATCTGGGTAAATGGGTAGCTAGGTGGTACAGTGGATAGAGTTCTGGACCTAGAATCAGGAAGACCTGAGTTAAAATTTGGCATCAGATACTTCCTAGCTGTGTGACCCTGGGCAAAGCACTTAAGCAGTCTGTGTCTCAGTTTCATCATCTGTAAAGTGATGGGATCAGACTTAATGGCTTCTAAGGTCTTTTCTTAGCCTAAATCTGTAATCCAATGATGCTAAGTCATGTAAGCCCTCTGAACCTCAGTTTCCTCCTTTGTAAAAAGAGGAGCTTGAAGCAGATGACAGAGTCATTTTCAGTTGTAGACGGACAACCCTGTAACTAGATGACCCCCAAGTTTCCTTTCAGTTTTAAATTAATGATCCTTCAAGATATGCCTATGTTTAGACATTCTTTATGCTGCTCTTTATGTACAATTTAGAAAAAAGAAAACATGAAGCATAGGAATAACATTTATTTTCCACATACAGTTGTACATATAACTCATTGAACTGGTGCATCTGTGTCTGTAACGGGGACAGATTCTGCAAATAGAAAATGAGCGAGCCCAGAATTTCACAAAGGAAGCTGACTGGATTGCCTTTGGGAAATGGAGCAGTGCTTTTAAGGCCCCTTCCAACCTTCTCTCTGAGACCCAGGCCCTAACACTCATAGGCTTCTGGTAATGTTGCAGGACTGAATGATGGAATGATATAGGCTCCAAAGGACTGAAATAGAGGCTTCCCCAAAATGTGATGGAAATATGTGCGGTGAGCATAAGAAGACAACGTCACAGTGCAAACAGGGAATCATACAGGCAAAATGTCATCAAAGAATTGCATGACCAGAAAAGAAGATGAACTGGTCATGGAAATGAAGGATTACCAGTGGACAGACCCATGTTCTATTAGTATCTTTGGAAGGAAGGCCCCCATCACATTGGGTGGGCCCCGATGATGAACTCATGGGAGGACATGCACAAGTGTCACATGGGAAGGATACTTGTCTGCCTCCTTGGTGGAACCTCCCAAATCAATGAGGTCACAGCTGGAGTGCTGAAGCAGCAGCAACTCCCCACCATATTATCTCACATGTGTTGTGTACTTACATGCTCATTTTAAGTTCATGCTGTCTCTTCCAATCCAATGTAAGTTCCTTGAGGACTGGGACTCTTTTGTTTTTGTCTTTGTATTCCCAGCACACATAGCACAGTACCTGGCACTGGGGCCTTTTAATAAGTGCCTGTGGATCAATCAGCACAGAAGGAATGACCAAACAGGACCACATTACAGGCGTCCCTCTTGGTTCCCCCTTCACGCTTTCAAGAGCAGAAGCCCGGGGATTTTTAGTGGTGCCTCTCCCTGCTTTTGATCACTTTCCAAAGCGATCCAAGGGGAGACAAAACCAGGATTTTCAAGGATTTTGCTGGAGTGGGCGCTTCCCCCACAGACACAGTGCAAACCCTCTATGCCTCACTTATTACGTGGTCTGTGAGTCACTTGTGGCCTAAATACTCCGTATCTCCTGACCTCTGAAGGTCAGTGGGAGTGATTCCATGTTCTGAAATATATCAAGGGAAATAGAATCCTAGCTTTAGAGCTGGAAGAACCTCAGAGGCCATTTAATCTAACCCTTTTATTTCACAGAGGAGGAAACTGAAGCCCAGAGGGGTTAAGTGACTTGTCCAGGGCCATACTGATGGTAACAATCAGGATTTGAACCCAGGCCCGTTGACTGCAAATCCAGTACCTGTTGCTGTACCCACTTGTCCCTGCTTTGATTCTCCTGCCACCAACTTTCTGAACTGCAAGTATGTTACTGGAAGTGCATCTTCTTCATGACCAGAGACATTCCTTCATCAAAGAACTTGAGAGGGCATACGCTATGGAGAACAACCCAAAGAGCACCCAAGGGCATCACCAGGACTTTCATTCCAGTGATTTTCTGAGCCCTGAACCGAAGGGCAAGACTTGTCTCGTCCCAAGCCCATGCCTTTAGGAAGCCAGCAAGGTATTGGTGAGAGGGAGCAAAGGAAGGTGCCCCCCCCCCCAGCTTGGAGGCTTGTTTGGGACAAGCTGACTTACTGTTAAAAGACAATGATGTAGTCAAGTGACACACATTCTCCTTCCCTCAATCACCTGCCCTTCTCCTTTCTGTCCTGGACATTGTCAGCCACTGGGAGCCGGTTGTGATAGCCAGCCAGCCACCAACATGCTCGGCATTTCATGCTTTCAAACTCAGCCCATTCATTCCAGTTACCTACTAGAACCAAGGGGTGCAGAGGCGCATTGGGCTCTTTCATCCAGTCATCATTGGCTAGTTCAATGACAGCATTCACATGCTTCACTTCAGTGCAGATCAAATCCAGCACTGCCTTCTCATCCCTGGCTTCCAGGGAGGACTTTAATCTCTTCACCAGATCGGAGTTGAGCGGGTAGTCGGGAAGACAGTCCGAGCTGGACATTTTTAGCAAGTTAGACTGCAGCAGAATATTCTTCTCAATTGAGTCCAAAGTGAGCAGCTGTCCCTGAGAGAGTGTGGTGGGCGGAGGAAGGGTGTTATAAATAGGATCACCTTGGCTCTGATTACCGATTACCGTAAGCGGAGGGTGAGGCACAAGTCCAGCCCTCCCCTGAAAAGTAGCTTTCCCAAGGTGAGAATGGCGTGTTTGTTTGGTTTTGATCAGGTCCAGTGAGTCTGGCCTCGGCAATGTGGGTGCTTATGGGAGGAAAGCAGGAAAGGGCAAGGAGACACCTGGGAAATCTCCTGACTGAAGGACTTGGTTACCTTGAATACTTGTACTTTAGCACAAGCAAGATCCTGTCTGGAAGCACCAAAATCTTTTGGGCAGCCAGGGCACTTTGTCCAGCTGTCTGTGTGGACAGCTTTCAATAGCTCACATAGCTGACAACCACTTTATTCAACCACTCTCTGAAAACATCAGTTTTTAAGTTTAGAGGACAATCTCTCCACCCACCCAAGTGATAATTCAAGTCCATTCAACAGACAATTTTGATATATAATAAGGCATGAGGTATAGTGTGCTGGAGTAGCTAGAGGGCAGGCCTTGGAATCAGGAGGAGCTGGGTTCAAGTCCTGCCCCTGACACATACTGGCTAGCTGGGTGATTCTAGGCAAATCACTTAACACCTCAGGGTGTCCAAGGCAGCCTTCTAAGATGAAGTTATAAGTGAGTTAAAGGGAATTTCCATACTATGAGTTTCCCACAGGCCAAACCATTAAAAAGTAGAAGAATGTATTATTAAAAAAATGAGTAATTTTTTATATTACCCATAGTTTTGGGAGAGCAGATGGCACAAGGAATAGAATTTAATACATATTCTCTGCCTGTGTTTCTGGGTTTGCAGCTTAGTTTGAGAATGTGGCTGGGACAGATCCAGGGAATGCCTGGCTACTGTCAGATCATAGCTCTCTGGAGATAATTCACAACTGAAAATAGACAGTCACTGGAGTTTTCAAAACATGTGAATATTAATGGCCTGGGCCAAGCTGGGCTACCATGGAGATTGGGATAACATCAATTCACTTCAAGTCAATAAAGGTTTCAGTGCTTCCTTGTGTCTTAGGTGCTGGGGATGCAAAGATCTGCGGAGAAGATGACATTTGGGTCATGTGTCACTGTTACCGAGTGCTTGCTTTGCAAGATCTTATTTGATTCTGATAACAGTCTGGTAAGCCAAGCAAAGTGGGGCAAGGCTTATTACAATCCATTTTATGGACTGTAGTCTCAGGAACCTTAGTCTCAGAGAGGTCTAAGGTCACACAGCCAGTAAGTGACAGAGCCCAGACTGAATGTAGGTCTGTGGTGTTCTTTTCATTACCACCCAAGATGAGATCATGACAAAGTCCCTTTCATCCCAGCTGTGTGGGTCCCACTCGGGGCTGTCGTGGGCTGTCTGAGGTTTTGTTGTTCATCCTTTGTTTTTGAAGAGGACCGATGACATCATGGGGTGATGTCTTGACTTGCACATCAACTGGATTTAAGAGAGGCGGAGTTGCACAAAGTTGTCAGCCTCACTTTCTCTTCCAGAGTCATTGAAGTACAGCGGCAAGGCAAAAATCAGGATGACTGGTGGTTGCCCAGGATGTAGTAGATGACCTTGGTGTCTTCAGTGTCTGACCGTGCTCTCAGCATTCCACAGCACCGGCTTCAACCACCTTCCTCGCTGTTGGAACAAATTGTTCTTGTCTGCCCATTCTTCACTTGCTTGGGGTAGACATTCCCTAATTCGCTGATAGGTTTAAGTCCTGTTACTTGCGACCTATCTTAGCCCATTTGGTTTTTCACCAGGTTGTGGCTGCTGTGCATGCTACAGCTTCTTGGAGCCACACGTGAGAGTTGGTGAAAAATGGACACCAAAGGTGGCTGGGGGCTTGGCTGCCCTCATGCCAGAGGTGTCCAAGGTAAAAAGAGATCACAGCCAAGACCGTCCCACTCCTTCCTGACTCGATTGTTCCTTCCTTTCTTTCTCCACCATGGCCTTGCTGCCCCTGGCCCCAAACCTGAACTGGAGCTGATGGATGCTGTTCTCCACTGTATCTGGGCACTAATGATACACAGATCTGTAGACCTGAGGTGCAGAAAGTCTCCTTTCCCTTTGGCTCTGCTCAATGTCTTTCAGGAATTTTCAAAGGGATCTCTTGAAACTATGTTAGGTGATGGAGATACACAGACACAAACAAAATAGCTCTTCCCCTCAGGGAGTTTTTGCTCTGCTTGGATGATATAATGTGGGGTCATGAAATGAGACTTGTATGGACCCTTAGAAGCCATCAAGTACTTCTTCGTCTCCCAGATGAGGAAACTGAGGCCCAGAGAGGTTAAGTGACTTCGTGTCATTAGATCAGAGATTGAGAGTTGGAAGGGACCTTAGAAGTCATCGACTTCAATCCTCTTGTTTACAAAAAAAGAATGTTGTTGAAGAGTCGTCTCTAACTCTTTGTGACCCCATTTAGGGTTTTCTTGGCAAAGCTGCTGGAGTCATTTGCCATTTCCTTCTTCAGCTCATTTTACAGATAAGGAAATTGAAGCAGACAGAAGTTGAATGACTTGCCCAGGATCACATAGCTAGTAAGTGTCTGAGGCTGGATTTGAACTCAGGTCTTCCTGACTCAAGGCCTGGCACTCTGTCTACTGAGCCACCTAGCTGCCCAATTACACAAGAGAAAACTGAAGCCTAGAGAGACATAAGGCAACACATGGATTAAGTAGTTGAGCCAGGATGTGAACCCAGGTCCTCTGATTCCAAATCCAGAACTCTTCCTCCTGTGCCTTTTAGAAAATAAACACAAAATTATATGAAACAACTTCAAGAAGGAAATAACACTAACACCTGAGTCAGGGCAGGGAATTAAGAAAGGCCTTGTGTTAAAGCTGGCAGCTGAGTTATGTTTTAGAGGAATCTAAGGATTCTCTGAGACAGAGATGTGTGTGTGTGTGTGTGTGTGTGTGTGTGTGTGTGTGTGTGTGTGTGTGTGTGTGTGTAGAGTATTGACATGGGGGCCAGCCTGTGAAAAGCCCAGAGATGACATGAAGCATCACGTGTGGCCAAGCTGGTGCATCTCCAGTGGGAAGTCCAAGGAGACTACCCCATAGCTCCTGGTTTCGATTCCCATTCTGACTGACAAGTCATGGCTTTGAGCAAGTCAGCATCTCCATGTAAGGGCTCTAGGGGTACCCAGAGGAGTTGGCACGATTCCTCTTTAATGCCATTAGCTGTGGCCCCCATTCTTATGTGTCCTTCCCAATGTTAACCACCAGGTGAGGTTAGTATCTCCTGTAAAATAGGGTAAGAAGCGTATCTGCTTCAGAGGGTTAAGATCAAACAACATGATGTATACAAACCTTAAAATACTAGATATTTGTCTTATTATTTTATCCATATGTATCAGTGATTAGCAACCCATTGTAATTTAACTAATTAACATCAATTAACTTTCACAAATAGATATTTACTGAGAAGATAGAGCAAGAATAGAAGTGACAGGGTATTCCTTCCCTGTACTCCCACCAACACTCAGGGTCACCTCCTGCACTAGTAGTCTTTGGGAAGAGTGTGCTCAAATTTGTATTACTTTTTTTTTTTTAAGGCATTCACTCCACCAAGTTCATTTCCCAATGTGGCATAGCAGATTGGTTACTCTCTCTCCCTCTTGGCTGCTTTTGACCTACTTCTTTGCTGGGTGGTCAAGCAGATTACTTGAGACTTTGCTCCTCATTGGGTTTGGCTGTCCCTAAAATTTGGCACAGGCTCTGGCTTCCAGCTGTATTAGAGAACACCTTCACCTAAGAGTAGTGAAGAATAGCTGTAACAGAGACGGAAGCATCAGCAGGGTCATGCATTCATGGACCACATGATGGTGGATCAGGTGGGGACATCAAGGCTGGTGGTCTCTATCCCTACCTGGAGGCTTACAGTACTCCTCACTCAATGCAGCCAGGAAGAACAAAGGGGAACCGAATCTTCCATTTAGTGCCTTTTGTAATCATTCTCCCTTCCAGCTCAGCTGTCAGCAAAAGGCTTCTCTTCTTAATATGTAAAAGAGCCTGGAAACAATACCTGCCCATACTTTGAATCGGGCTGCAAGGTCCTTCCATTAGATGTCATTATGCCTTCCTGGGAGCGGGCTCCCCTGGACTACCTGGGGATTCCATCGTCTAAACATAAAGCGCCTTCTCATATGGGATGGTCTTGGCAAGTCCCTCACTAAGTAACATGAAAAAAGATGGGGAAGGTGGGTGGGAGCTACATTGTAGAGGGCTTTAAATGCCAGGCAAGAGTTTTGCAGTTTGCCCTGGAGTAAAGAAGGATTCTCTGGAAATATTAAAGTAGGGAAGTGCGCTTTAGGAATATCAGTGTAACAGCTGTGCAGAAGAAGGATTGGAAAGGGAGTTGGGAAGAAGGGAGGTCTTCTTCCCAACTAAGGCGATGCATTTGGCACCTGGTCTAGAAAGATACTTGTTGACCATGTTAGTGGAGAAGAGGAAGATTGAGAGAGATATTGTGGAGATCAAACTGGTAAGATCTGGAAATTGACTGGCTTTGTGGCATGAGAAAGACTGAGGGATTGAAAATGAATGCCAGGGTGTGAACATGAACCACTGGAAGAGTGGTGGTGCCCCTGACAGACACAGGGAAGTTAGGAGGAGGGATTGGTTAGGGGGAGAAAGGAAAGTTCCCAGTTCGGACCATGTAGTGCAGGACTTCAGCAAAATGTCAAAAACCGAAATAAGGTAATTTAAAGGAATAAATGGGAATTAATCGAGACTGCTCTCCAACACCAAATCAGAAGGGAGGTAAGGATGGAACCCTCGTTAAGCAGATAATAAAGATGACAAAAGCCTCCAAATACAGGGCTCACAGATCTTAATTACTGAGCTCTCTGTTTGGTATTAATCAGCAGCACATACGCTGGGCTAATCATGCCAGCTAATTTTGTTATAATGCAATTCTTTGTCAACCACGCTATGTATAAATTAGGGATTGAAATGTAACTAACACAAATTGTATTTAAGGCAACATGAATATCTTGATTTCGGCATCGGGTCTTTCCACCCGTGTGTCTTCTCCTCTCCTTTCTCGTTCTCTTCCTTTCTCCTGTGGGACAAACACCTCTCTCAGCTTTCTC